CAAACTAATAGCTTCATAAGTATTCTTAGATGCTTAAATTCTTCAAACATTTATAATGCTATTTTTCCTGTTTCATGGAAATTTCCAATCTCATAAAACAATTTCATTTACCTAAGCTTTAAATACCTAACATAATTGTTCAATTAATCTTGATTAACTTTAGTCATGATTTCTAAAGCTACTTCATTCACATAAATAGCCTTCTCATTCTCTAACCTTTTGTTAAATGTACCTTAATAGTATTGACATATATCGATAATTAAGCTAATATCTTTAACTTATTTTATTTTTTCATTGAACTAATTAAATAGAGATGAAGAATCAATGTTTTTTTTTTAATTTTGTTCAATTAATGTAAAAAAATCCTTCTCTTAAAATTCTACTGATTAAGAGAAATAATATGTACTTGCTTAAACTAGACTTGCAGATTATTTAAACATAAACTGAATAGGAGAAGCTTTTAGCGCTACCTATCTTGTTGCATTTTTTAATAAAGGAGTCTTTAGATACTTTTAAAAGTGTCTAGCTTTTTATAATAAATTCATCTATGGCAAAATTTAAAAGATATTATTAAACGCAAAAAGATATAAATTATTTATTTATTTATAATCAATCAGAAAAGATTAATTTATTTCTAATCAATCAGAAAAGATTTATTTATCTATAAATCAGATAAAATTTATTTTTAACAAATCAAGTATCAAATTTTTAACAATTTAAGTACTTTAGAGGATTTTGTTTAAAAAAGAAACACTTAATATTGTCTTAAAAAATGATATTTATTTTTTTTTAATAAAGGATAAAGTAAAAAACTTATTTCTATTTTTAACTTAATTTTTACTTAGTAAATTCATTATCAATTTTATTTTTATTGTGTTTCTTATAAATAAAGCATTAATTATAAAATAAATGATAAACAGCTATTATAAATAACTAAAATTAGGAATTTTAAGTTCTTAAATATCTTCATAATACCTTAACGATTTCAGCTAAATGATACCAAAAAAGAGCATTGTTAAAATACAAAAAGGCATATAAATATATAGCAAGATGTCATTCAAAAATTCCGTTGTTTGGATGTCACTAATATTATGAAATATATTTTTTAGCTATTTATTAAAAAATCAGATTTTTATATTTTTTTACATCAAAAATTTTAAATTTAGCTAAATTTTCTGAAGTGGGGTAGTCAGCAAAAATACAGGATTTTGGGGCAATTAATTTCTGTCAGAAGTAAAAACTAATTTATAATTCATATAATTTATTTATTCTTTAAATCCACCTATAATTAATTAAATTTTCATAAATTGCTAAACAATATTTTCGAAAAATAATAATAAATGATATCATAGATTTAAAATTACACTGAATTATAAAAAGTAATTATTTTTTTCTTTCAATATTCTTTTAATTTATTTTAACTAATATAAAAAGTTTTTAAACTCTTAACTTAAATATCATTAGGCTATCCAAATTGACCTGAGGTATATTTAATTTATAATTATTATTATTAATATTTTCTATATACTTAACTTTCAGTTTATTAGTTTATTGAAAATATTTATTTTTCTAATAGAAATTATCACCTATTTTCATTTATTTTATCTATACAAATGTTTTTTTAGTTATTACAACTTAATTTTCACTTTTAAATATTTTAAATTAATTATCCATTTTTATTTATTCATAATTACCTACCAAAACTTTTACTTGATAAAAATAGCTTATTTGTTTTGGGTTGTGATATTTTTAGTTTCAAAAATTAATTAAATCTTTCTTTTAATTTGCTTATTAGCTTTTATTTGATTTACTTTTTTTTTATTGTATTTGTGTTTTTTTTCTTCTATTTTGCTTAATTTAACTTATTTTTTTATTTTAACAAAGACTTTTTATTATTTATTAATTAATTTCTTATTATTTCATACCTTTTTTTCATTTTCACCTTCTAAATAAATAAATAATTAATAATAAATTTTTTCTTCAATATTTAAAAAGAAGCAATAGAATTGGTGCTTAAGGTGCGTCAAGTTTAGGTTTTGCTTTAGCAAAATGCACTAATTTGTCAAATTTGATACTTTATCTTAGGTAAAAGCAGTTTATTTGTTTTCGATTGTGTTTGATTGTTTCATTTTAAAAATGAATTTAAAACAATATAACTAACTCTTTTAATTGTTTATTAGAGTTTTATTTAATTTAATTTACTTTTTTTTCTTTTTTTATTGTACTTATATTTTCTTTGTTCTATCTTTCTTAATTTAATTCATTTTTTTATATTTATTAATTATTTCATATTTTAAAAAGTGACAATTTTATTGATGATAAAGGTGCATTTGGCATAGTTTCTGCTTTATAAAATTGCACGAGACTCTCAAATTTGACACTTACACTTTGGTAATAGCAGTTTAATTGGTTTGGAATTCATTTAATTAGTTTATTAGCTTTTTATTTGATTTCCTTTTCTTTTTCTTTTATATTCTACTTGTGTTTTTTCTTCTTCTATCTTTGTAAATTTAACTCGTTTTTTTTATTTTCAATACTAGCTTTTATTATTTATTAATTATTTCTTATTATTTCATATTTTTTCTTCATTTTTTCCTTCTAAATAGCTAATTAATTAATTAATTAATTAATTATTTATTTTTCTTCAATATTTAAAAGTTCCAATTAATAAATTCGTGATTAAGGAGTATCAAGCTTAAGTTTTGCTTTAGCAAATTATACTAATCTCTCAAATCTTACACTTTATCTTGGGTAAAAACAAACAGTTTATTTATTTTGGATTATGATATTTTTATTTATAAAAATGAATTTAAACTATAAACATCATTTAATTAGTATATTAGCTTTATATATGATTTATTTTTTATTTTATTTGTGTTTTTTCTTTCTATTATATTCTTAATTTAACTCATTTTTTATTTTTCAACATTTATTTTTATTATTTATTTATTTATTTATTAATTTCTTATTATTTCATATTAGTTCTTCATTTTTACCTTCTAAATAGCTAATAATTTATTATATATTTTTGATCAATATTTAAAAAGTATAAATAACATTGGTGATTAAGGTATATCAAACCTAGGTTCTGGTTTGGCAAATTTAACTAATCTTACAAATTTGACACTTTATCTTAGGTAAATACAGTTTATTTGTTTTGGATTGAGATATTTATACTAAAAAAATGAATTTAATATTACTCATTTAAGGGGGGGGGGGGCTTAAAAAAAGTTTCCCTAAAAAAAATCGTAACTTAGTAAATTGATTACGATTTTTTTCTAGTTTTTTCAAAAA